AGTTTTTATGGAGTTATGTTAGATAGAATATTTAGTAGTACTGATATAAAAAGAAAAATACATATTTATAACTTGTTAAACAATATGATTCAGCGTGGAGCGGTCGTACCACTTGTAAGAAAAGTTTTTGAACAACATGAGATAGAAACCGCTTTTAAATATATGGCAGCTGCAAAACATATAGGAAAGGTAAATTAGAAAAAACCTAAAAGTACAATTTTTATAGAAAATGTAATACCGTGTACAGCACCTAAAGGCGGTCACGTTATTTGTGATCGAGATTGTACATTTCATATATATAGTTCGTAAAAAAAATAATCATGTAGAATTAACATATAAACATTTTAGTACACTTATAACTACTTACACAGTGTGGTTTTTTCCGACAAATTTCAAATAAAAAAGTTTATGTAAGAAAACTCTTAGCAAAATGTTACTTAATTCTTAAGATTGCAGTAGTATTGAATATATTATATTTTGTGGCTTTGACAGATTATGCAGTTCCTGCTGATAATCTGCTATCGACAGTTCGATAATGATATAAATGCTATTTGGTGACAATAAATTTAGACCTGATTATTTTACAAACGGCTTTCGATGTTTTGCAATATTCTAGTAATAATTTTGCGATATTTGTGTAATCAACAATATCGTATAATCAACTCTTTACAAATTGTTATCAATTTATTTATAGTTATGGATTTTAAGCAAAGGACAAATTTAAATCAATTACCGAATAAAAATGTAAAAATATAAAAGCAACATATAGAGTTTTGGGTTATTTGTCGGAAATATATTTTATTAAAACAAATATTTTATATTATTTTTTTTCTCTCAATATAAAGAACAGGTAACAAAAATATAATTTTTATAAAATCTTTTAAATTTTATTTTTACTTTTAGGTAATCATAAAAATACGTACAGAGAAAGAAGTTGCGGACGCTCCTATTCTCGCGTATCCTCAATATTTATGTAATGAGCATAAATCTTATATTATTTTGGGTGGTTTAGGCGGTTTCGGCCTAGAGTTAACCAACTGGTTGATTGTTCGTGGAGCTCAAAAAATTATACTCATTTCACGAAATGGTATAAAGAACGGTTATCAACAGTCAAGAATAGAGTTATGGAAATCGTATGGAGTAAATGTGCAAATAATGACAGGCGTTGACGCATCTACTCATAACGGTTGTGCTTCTATTTTACGTTCTGCCAACGAATTAGGACCAGTGGATGCTATATTTAATCTCGCAGTTGTGCTAAAAGATGATATTTTCACGAATCAAACTCCGGAAACATTTGAAGAAACATTTCAGTCGAAAGTTCTAGCTACAAGGCAACTGGACAATTTGTCTAGAAAAATGTGTCCTTATCTTCGACATTTTGTGGTATTTTCATCTGTTTCATGTGGTAAAGGAAATTTTGGACAAACTAACTACGGTATGGCCAATTCGATAATGGAAAGAATCTGCGAAAAAAGAGTGCAAGATGGATTACCTGGCATGGCTATTCAGTGGGGTGCGATAGGCGACGTCGGTCTTGTCGCTGACATGCAACAAAACAATAAAGAACTAGTTATCAGTGGAACATTGCAACAACGAATATCATCTTGTTTAGAATCACTGAACAATTTCTTAATGCAGAATCGACCGATTGTAAGCAGTATGATTGTAGCTACAAGATCAAAAGTTTCTGGAGACATTGTGCATGTTGTGATGGACATAATGGGTAAATTTATTTATAAATTACTATATCATAAACTCATTCTTTTTCTCTTTCTTTTTATCAACAATAACCGTTTTGATTTTTTTTATTCCATTATCGAATGGTACTTTTACATGTTTTTATATAAATTTCATACTTAACCCTCTCTCTTTGTCTCACACACACACATAGGATTGAAAACTTTAAAAGGAGTTGGAGAACAAGTACTCTTGTCTGAACTTGGCATGGATTCTATGATGGGTTTAGAAATTAAGCAAACAATAGAAAGAGAATTCAATATTTTCTTCACAGCCCAAGAAATTCGAAATCTCACCTTCGCTAAACTCAAAAAAGTAACTGAAAAAGATAAATACGACCAAAAGAATGTTGAGAAACAACTTGACACAAATAATTCGCAACATGTAAAAGTCTTTAATATTTTTCGGTTAATATCTGACTTAGATATAATTTCAAACATTTCTGTAGAACTCTCTACACAACGAGAAGTAGATAGAAACCAAGTATTTCTTTTGCCAGGAATTGAAGGATTTGCTAACATATACAACTCAATAGCTCCAAAAATTAAAGCTCCTGCAATATGCCTACAACATAGTTCTATTAATATTCCTGAATCTGCTCACTCTGTAATACAATCAGCCACTGATCTTTTATCTGTATGTAGTCAAAATAGAAATTTTTACATCTAGAAAAAAAATTATATAAGTTGTGTACAAGCAATAATAATTGCAAAAATCTTGTATTTTTTTAGCATATTTTATCAAAACTAACAGATTCTACAGAATTCGTAATTGGCGCATATTCATATGGATCTCTTATTGCTATTGAAATGGTAAAACAATTAGAAGCTAAAAACTTTCGAGGACGATTAGTATTAATCGACGGAGCTCCCAAGTACTTAAAAGACATACAGGAAACATTCTTCCCTTTTACTAATAGTCAAGAATTTCAAATTTGTGTGTTAAAACACATAATAGATGGTTTTAATATACCTGCATCAGAATTGGTATGTAATAACATAATACAATAAAATATATGTTTTATATTGTGGATATAGCGCTATATTAAAACTAGAGCACACAAACAGAGACATAAGCTACATTTAACAATTGCTACTATATTTGTTCAGTATATGTGCGTGTTTCAGATTATACCAGAATTAAATAAATATGCTACTTGGGAAGACAAACTAAATAGTTTTACAAAATACATTACTAGTGAAATGATAACTTCTTTCAAACTTTCCATCGATTCCATTAAACTATTTTGTACAACAATTTACAAACATTTAATTGCTGTTCAAGAATACGATACGTCTTCATTGGTATCAATTCAGTCACCTATAATACTATTAAAAGCAACAAATTTATTACTTTCTTCGGTAGAAGAAGATTATGGTCTAAATAAGGTAATTTACTAGCAAATATTCAATTTTTCCTACCAATATACTTTTATATAATTGATGTGTTTTGGTCGCAGATAAGCAAAAGTGTACAAATTCACTACGTAGACAGCAATCATGTATCAATAATTAATAGTGATCAGGTCGCAGCTGCTATTAATGGAGAAATAAGACAAGAGTAACAAATAGTTTGTTGTCGAAATAACAAGAGAATGTAAAAGCAATAAGTAATTTGCTGTCAATTTATCAAACACAAACAATTATCTGGAAAAGATATGCAAAATTTCTCGAAGAGTGCGCAATTTAAAAAAAAAAAAATGTTTATATAACAAATGTTTTAGTGTACACGAATTTACTGATGACTATTTAATAGAAACTATGACTCTACTGATCTCAACATTATTGTAACAGTATCAAAATTGATTTAATTTAATTTCACGGACTCAAAGCATATAAAAAATAGGTAAATCTTTTAAAAACAGACAATTGTTTTCGGGAAAGTTTGTGTGTGTGTGTGGTTTAAATAAATTACTTATTTCTCTTTTTTTGCTGTGGTTTTTTGGGCACACGTTATACGGATCGTAACTGAAATATTTTTTGTAAATCGAAATAAAATGAATTTTGAAGAGAAATTCATATGATGTTGATTTTCTAGAAACGCGTCCCAACATACATAACTATTTACAAAAGAATTTCAAAAGAATTGCAAAGAATCAAATTTTAAAAATTAAATTATTAATCTTAAAAAGTACTTCGATAGCAACCTGTCTGTGTTTTTGTTGTCATGGTGCCGAAAACGCTTGAGTTTTCAGCAAACTTAGAACAAGGTGAGTCAGACATTTCTCTTTGACATGACACGTATCAAACATGTGTTGCCGACAACTTGCTGTGTATCTGCTGTCAACGATTTATCAGTAGCATAAAAAGCATAACATAACAAGTTACCGACAACATATGCTGAGTCACACATTTGAGCAAAAATACAATTCACTAGCACATCGCGTTGTGATAGAGGAAGTAATTCGAGATTTCACTCGAATTAATCTTTGAAGATCTGATTTAGTTCGCCGATCAAACTGATTAACTCGATGAAAGATACCGGAAACAATCCTAATGGTGATAGTTTGGATTTATACTCGAGACCTTCGTATTCGCAGTCCTTTCACTCAGTCCGCGAGACCACTTGTTTCTTACTAAAATGTAATTGTTTTTATCTACTTATTCTGAAAAAAACGGTCATTTGTTTTCGACATTTAATGGGCTACAAGATAGAAGTAATATATTTCAAGAGGGTTTAACAACCATACGACAGAAGTACAGACATCGGTGTCTTGTTACCGTCATGTTGCTCTTATGTTGCCGAAAACAAATGACAAAAGCAAAGAGTTTTCCATGAGTAGAAGTCATTTTGTGGACAACGTAAGGAGCAACAGTTGCTTTCCGTTTACTCTAAATCTGTTAACACAAAATGACTCAAATTTGCCTTTGTGTTGTTGATTACGTATGACTATGCATTACGTTTTCAGCATATACACAGTAACTATTCGAAAACCTTTGCTCAGGCATTAAGTTACATGAGTTTGCAAAAATGCTTGACTATCAAGGTAAGGCCTCTGATAAAGTTAGTGTACTGATTATTAATGACTAAATTAACATATCTATACTAATGAATATGTTAACATATCTAATGCCGCAGCGCTTATGTAACTTAAGAGGATGCTGAACCGTCCTGTTTTACCATAAAAATAGTAAAATGTCTGAATAATGACTTTTGTCAAATGTACTGTACAAATGAGAAAACGGTTCTCTACAATAAAAGAAAACAGTGTAATTCTGGGACACTTTGTATATGTTTATTTATTTATAATGTTTTTAAATTTTTAATACAAAGTATTACCTCGATGACATTAATCGTTTTTTTTGTACTGTTATAAAATTATCATAGTTCTCTGTATCTGCCAGTTGTACAAAGTCATTGCATTTTTCTAAAATGTATATAATATATTCAAGATTTTCTAAAATTTTTTCACCGTTTGAAAGTAATAGCAAGATTAAGATACTATCTTTTATAAATAAAACCTAAGAATGAAATAGAATATAAAGAACTAAATCCAGGAGAAGAATATAATGCCGCAGTTGGTTTGATCAAGTCGAGTCGAGAAAGTCATCAAATGATGACAGAAAAGTGATTTTGACATTCGTATACACATGGAGAAAATTAGCAGTGATATAATCGGCGAGTTAAAAAAAAAAAAAGCGTGGAGATGAAAAAAAAGAAATAAAAGTGGAAAGAAATACAAAAAAGAAATGTTTACAACGATAAATAATATAAAGAAAAATAGTTATAGGTAATTAATAATAAAATAAATATGCGTGTTACATTCATAGACGTATAGTTATAGATTTCGCGTCCTCTACCTTTGCTATGTTACGAAAATAGTTTCAACGATTAGAGAAACAACTGGTGTTAATCAGTAGCCTCGTCTGTGTCTAGCAAAGTAGTGAAGGAAAATGAAGATTTTGCTGATTAATAGAATAGTAGTGAAAAGTGAGAATGGAAAAATAGTAGGGATAAAAAAAAGAATGAAATAAATTAAGAAGTGATGGCAAGTTATATATAAGCGATATGAAATAGTAGGCTCTGATATCACCACAGACATTAATAAACGGAGAGAAAATTACTGTTCAAAGTATTGTCTTCGTCAACTGTAAAAACATCTTTTTAGCCTAAATGCACAGTCTATATATTATACGTCTATGGTTACATTTTTTAAATTAATATAACTGTTTTCTCTATAAGTGTCATCGAACAGTTGCGTGCGAGTTTGAGAGCTTAGGCGAGGTACGATAGGAAGAAGCGGGAAAATGCAAAAAATGGATTGTTCGAAAGGAAAATGCAGACAGGATATTTAAGTATTGCTCACAAGGAAGCAGCAAAGTGCAGAGAAGGCAGAGAAGGCACAGAGTGCACAAAATGGTTTTGTTCACAACAAATGCAAAGAAAGTATTAGAGTAGTGTGCAAAAAGAAGGTATAAAGTATGGAGAAAAAAGGAAAAAAAGGAAAGAACAGAGTTGAAACAGTAAAAACATTAAAGAGGAGTGAAAGAAATAGGACAACGAGTGAAGAATCAAAATTAGAAATGTGGCTGAAACGGAAGAAGAAATCAGGAGAGAGAAAAAGAAAGAGGCGGAAAAGAGTGACTAAATGTTTAAAAAGCGCAAGAAGATGCAAAGGTCACCAAAGTAGAGTAAACAAAAAGAAAAAGAAAAAAAGAGAGGGACGAAAAAAGAACATGAAAAGAAACAAGGAAAGAAAAAAATATATAAAATGAATTAGGTAAACTAAGAGGTAAAATGGTAATATGTATAGAAGTAATGACAAAAGTGAGCAAGAAAATGAAAACAGAAGGAAAAAATACGTAAGTGGTAAAAGAAGGAGATGGAATAAAAGTAAAGAGGTGGAAAAGAAGCTGAAAGAGAAGAAAAGGATAGAAAGCAAAGGAACAGAAGGAAGAATGGGAAAAAAGGAAGGACAACTTGGAAGGGAGAATAAAAATAACAAAATAAAAAAAAATCTAGAATGAAAAGAAAAAAAAGAGGAAAACAAATTTAATAAAAGAAGTAGAAAAAAACGAGATTCGAAATGGCGAGCGGAAACACTGTTGACAGAAATAAAGTCTGAGGGTAAGATAAAAAATTTGATAACAATGAATGTTGAAAGGGAAGATAAAAGCAAAATTATATGGGTTAGAGTGGACAAAAAGCAGAATAAGAAAATAATTTGGGATAAAACTAAAAATATAAAAGAAAGGAAGTTTTGGATTGTATGATATGACATGGAAAAAGAAAGAAATAAGAATGTTGCTAATAATTACGGTAGCAGAAAAAAAAAGAAAAAATACATGGAAGGAAACACAATAAGAATTGAGAAGAAAAATGTTGAAAATGAGATACGGAAGGATAAGCGTTAAAGAGAGTAAGACACCCGGAAAAAAAGAAAGGAAAAAGGATGGAAGAAGGAAAAAGGGGGAAATAGAGAAAGGGAAGAAGATAGAGGTAAAAAACTTAAGAAGTAAGGAAGGAAGAAAAAAAAGTAGAAAGAAGAAACGACAAAAGAAGGAAAGGAAAGTTCCGGATAAAATTGAAGACTTAGAACATAATCGTATTACGGGAGACGTGAATAGATAACAAAAAATAGTAGAAAATAGAAGAGATTTTGCCAAAAAGTATAGGTGGGAGGTGCAAGGAGTGGGAAGAAAAACTAACAAAAGAACAGCAATAAAAGGAATGTAATGATAAAGGAAGTAAGAAAAAGAAAAGAGATAGAAGAGGAAGAAAAAGAAAAAGGGCAAGAAGATATAATGATGAAAAAGGTGAGATTAGAAGCAAAATGTTAGAAAATAATACGAGCATACGTGAATGATGGAATAGAAAGAGAAACGGAAGACTTGAAACATTGGATGAAGGACAAAAGAGGAATTAAAAAGACAATAATAATGGGAGGATTTTAATGCTAAAACAAGTAAGGCAAAAAAGAAACTAAATAGGCAAGGAGAAAAGGGAGAAAAGGGCAAAAAAGTTACAGGACAAAATAGACGAAATGGTCGTCATTCATGATGTCATTTTTGTGCAATATTTACACGACGATTCTGCAATACTTGCATTAAGATGATTTGCAATACAACAGTTCTGTCACAATAAAATTTTGTAAATAATATTTGTCAAATGTTAGAAAAGAGTCGTTATGCATGTCTATAAATATATACATGAATTAAGTTGATTTCTTCATATGTGCAATCATATATTTCTACATATTTTAAACATCACAGAAATTGAATTTTTTTTTCTAATTCTTGAAAACTTACTTTTTGAAATTACTTTTGCAAATATACTGCTAAGATGATTCGTCATATCGTTATTCTTTTGCCAAAAAAGTATTTGGAAAGTAATTTTGCAAACACCTACAAATATTTCATAAAAAGATAACTGATTTTGGCACATCTATTCCCTAAAAGATATCTATACAATTGTAACTTACAATTTTGGCAAAACGGGAACTAAAACGTCAAAGAGAAGAAGGAGAAAAAAGGAAAACAAGGACAAAACACACTTTTATAATATATTCAGTTTGCTGATATTCTTAAATATGTTGACACAATAGCAAATATGCTGAAACTGAATTTGCTGCTGTAGCTATAAAATTTTCTATTACATAGAATCAGTTTGTGCTGATATTCCTAAATATGTCGACACAATAGCAAATACGCATGTCTTGTAGCAAAATATGTATGTATTTGCTATTATGTCGACATATTTAGGAATATCAGCAAAATGTTTCTATGTAATAGGAAATTTTATGGCTACAGCAGCAAATTCATTTTCAGCAAACCGTAATTAGCTGTGGTAGAACTATTTTTTTTCCGTGTACTAAACGTTATATGCCGATAGACGCATATGTGCGCTATTTAGATTGTTTACAAAAATAAATAAAGAAAACGTTATAAATGGTTCAATTTCTTTTTCTTTTCGGAGATGTCATAAGAGAAGAATTATTCTAACTGTTTCACGAGTTAGAATAATTAAATTATCTTAGTTTATGTCGTGATTATCGTAACTGGACCTGTGTTTTTATTAGAGCAATAAGATCCAAGTGTTTTTTTAGAAATAAAAAAATTGAGAAGCATTGTATTACGTACATCCGCACATAGTAGCTCGTATCGACCTTAATACTTGGTTGTAAATTTTTACAAGCTTTTAAATTGTCGGAATTTAATAAATATTGCAAATTTTCCAAAATAATAAATGACGTTCTGATTACATTAATTGATAATCGTAATCTATCCATCTAATTTCGCATAATGGTCTTATCAAACTTTTTCAAACACCCTGTATATTCAGAAATGCGGTAAGTTTCAAGTCCAACAAAACAAGACCTTTGTACAAGCATAATAAAAAATAAGCATAAGAAATAATATTTACTAAAAATGCAATATTTGTATGTAAAGTTTATTGTAACGATAAAAATAGCTCGCGATCCTAAAAATAAAACAAAAAAATGATATATATTTATTTTATATACAGTGTGTAAATGATTAATCTTGCGTCTTGTATAATGTCTTGTATGCCTTTAACAATTCTCAATATGTTATTTAAAAAATGTTATATATTTTAGTTAATACAACTGCGTCAGAATTTTCTAAGAAAGTCAAGTGTACACTATGAGAGTAAGAAATTGTTAACACATTTTATCGAGACATGTTTTTTGCACGTTAACTGTCGTTTGATTATAGGTCACATGCAAATACAAGTTTTATGCAAATACGAATTAGCATATCATATACATATAATTTACTCTGGTAAGACGTGTAATCCTTAGTCCGGCAACAGTATCGGAATCAAACTTCTTGCTCAAAACGTCCCATAGTAAAAATATTAAGCTGATTTCGAGCTGTATACACGTAATCTCGAGATTCGCGATCAATTTTTTTGCGTAATTCTTATTCTTAACTTCTTAATTTAATTTGTGACGTAATAAAGTCGCGTAGCAGTCAGTAATAAAGTCTCTTACGAGTTATTAACGCGTAATTAACAATAAAGTTGCTTACGCGCTATTTACGCGTACTTAATAACAATTAATAATATAAAATTTTTTTTTTATAAAACAAACTATATTTAAGAAACTAATAATGAAAATAGTAGATCGTATCATGAGACATATGATAGTATCATATAAGATAAGAAGTTAATCATTTAATCATTAAATCATATTTAAATGCGTGTTGCTTTAGAATTGTTACAACTTACTTGTAGTTTATTAATCAACAATATTTTGCACACATTCGATTTGTGATCGCATATAACTAACACAAACTGATTTCTGTAAGAGCCATTGCATATAAGTCGCCATAGCTGTAACGTAAGACATACCGTAAGAATTAGTCATATTACGAATTTTCGAGTTGTGGTCCTATTTTTGACTATAAACAATTGTAATTGGTCAATTCTTACGACATGTCTTACGTTTATTATTACCGCAATTTATGTGTAAAAGCCGGCGTACTACTGCATTTTTCATGTATATATCACAAAGACAATAAATTATAGTAAAAATACTATAAAACTATAGATTATATTCGTTCATTCTTTCTACGTGCGAATGTACACTTTAAAAAAAGTTTGAAATATTCTTAATAAACTCATAATACATAAATACAACATAACACACACATACCATAACCACATAATATTATTACAATTATAAAAACAGAAAAACATTAAGCAACGTATTATTCAGGTTTAAAGATAAACGTACCGTATTTCAATATTACTAATGTAATATTACTAACTATATGTATAGGCTGAAGTGTCTAAATAAATTATATTATTATAATATTACTAACTATATGTAAAAGTTATAACAGTAATTTGAAAGGTTACGTATAGTTCAATAATCTAAGGTCGAAGCACAGACTTTTGCATAATCCATAACGCATAAGACTTAAGAGAATCAACCAATCAAAGTCTTCTAGAACAAAAAGTAAAAATAAAAATAGAAGACTGGATTGGTTGATTTTCTTATGTCTTATGCAACAGTTTGTGCTTCGATCTTTACTGTGTATGCGTTATGTAGTTATTTATGCATTATGTAAATGTACGTGTATGATATGGATGTAGAAAGACTATATAAAAGAAAAACGGAAAAATAGTAGCCGTAGTATCGAATGTGACAGACGTTCCATATATTTGTTTTATTTATGTTGTTTTGTGCTTGTGTTCTTTAATAACAATTAAAAACAAAAACTATAAAATAATTAAGTAAGTATCTATTGTTAAACACAGATATATATTTTACAGATTGTAATTTTATTTTACGATGGTTACAAAAACTTTTCAAAAAAAGTCTCTATTGCACATCTAGCACGGAATATTGCTAGAGTGGTGCAGAAATATTATTTTGCAAGATTGGAATTATTATATGCAATATGTATAAAACAAAAACTTGCCACAATACAGAGTATTGCTTTTTATTTGGTGGGAGATATATATAGGGGAGACCGGGGCTAGTTGTGACACGGGGTTAGTTGTCAAACTGCTATTATCTTGCTTACTAAATCTTGGAAAATATTCTTCTTTTTATTGTAAGTTGCTACTAGTTGTGTTAGTAACGTGTACGAAAGAACTTTTCTTAAAAACATTATATATGATATTTATAAGCACTTTTGTAAAACTGGATATGGCAAGTAGATTTTTCTGATCTCGATTCTTTAGTAATTTCATTGGTTTTAAAATTTCTAATTGCAATTTTATCTTATGTATAGGAAATATGGTAGTTTTAAATAAGTTTTCCTATATTTATTTAATCGTCATCGCATCGCAGTTTATAAATATAATATCTTTTATTTAAAATGAACGTTTGGGATAAGTTGACTCAAATTGAGACGGGATAAGTTGTCACACGGTGAACATGCGCGAAAAATTAATCGCAGTGATTGTTATGCGTCGTTATAACTTTTTCAGTACCTGTCATTGTTTTTTTTTTATTAAAGATTAGATTACTAATTATGTTTTATAGTTTTTAACTGATTTAGTATTGTGAAATCTTTTAAACTTGTTTTTTTATATATATATATATGATTATTAATATTGTATAAATACTTTATACTTAATGTATAATGTTATGTACTCTCAATAAATTTAATAAAATAAAAAACAAAAATTTTATCTTATTGTTTCTCTGTATAAAAGACATGTGACAATTAACCCTGGGTATGGGGCAGGTTGACAAATCTGCGCGATTGTACTTAACATTAAAATACTCTTTTGTGTAAAGATATATAAGAATAATATTTGTTTTTTCTTAAAGCTAAAGGATGTGACTATTATATAATGTACCTAATATTACATAATATTGCGTACATTTTTTTTTTTTTTACAATCTATTTTGGATGCTACTTTGTGCCCCGGTCTCCCCTATTCAGTGTTTACAAACAACGTCCGCAATATTCTTCTGAGGTAACCTTTTGCATTCTAGCACGTAAAACTTATATTTAACAAATGTTCGAACATCTTTTCTAATAAAGTGTAAACATTTGAAGATAAACATTTGAAATATATGTCACGAACTACTTATTAAGTCATCTTATCTCAATATTTTTTACGTAAAATATTCTTATATACAAAAAAGTAAAAGGTGTTCTATTTAAAATAAAAATACAGTTGCATTGTTTTTGGTGCATCGTTGCAGGAACAAAAAAGTTACTCCCTGAGAAAATAAATAGTATTTGCTAGTGTCAATTTCTTTTCAATTGATTTTTACTTTTCTATTTTTCTGTCATTTTTAAAAGTCATTGTTTTTCTTAATATTACATAACATTGTTTATGTTCAAAACATTTGATATAATCTACTTGTTATAAGTGTTTATAAAAAAAATCATTTATATAGATTTGGAAAGTAAAAAAATCATTGTTTGTGATTATTTGTTTTTGGAATAATTAAATATTAATGTTTTTTATGATTAGATGTATTTGATGTATAATAATGTCAACAGCAAAAAAGGAAGATATGGACAGCAGCAAACAATTTACTTCACATAACATAAACGAGGAAATTGTTATCTCTGGTATTGCTGGACGATTTCCTAAATCTGATAATATGAAACATCTTCAGGAGAATCTTTTTAATGAAATTGATCTCTCATCGGAAGACAATGAAAGATGGAATGCTGGTAAGATAAAACTGTGAGTGCGTGAGAGTGAGTGCGTATGTGCGTGCGTGCGTGCGTGTGCGCGCAAAGATACCGGAGTAATTGCTGCATAATATGTATTCTATTATGTCATTAGAGCGTAAAACATAAGAATTTACACATTTCACGTTTCAATTAGATAGCTGATCAGCAACGGGTTTTTTTTCTTGTTAAAAGGAAATATTAAAGACTTCATGGATTTTGTTACACACAATCTAGAGAATACATACAAAAAGAGCTACGCAGTTTAAAGATTTTATAATACAGATGTAGACAGGATACAGTCGTGAATGTTTTATACTAACAATAAGTCATTTGCATACATACCTGCAGTATCGTATACATTGTAGCTCTGCGCATTAACCATATGATTTAACTTGAAAATATTTAAGCCGACATTCACAATCGAATCTTATATTTAAAATTGTTTCGAGTTCATTTTAAGATAGATCAGTTTATTAGTTTACAAAATTTATTTGAAGTTAAGACGATCTTAAATATAAGATTTGATTGTATGGCTTTGGTATTGGAAATCAGAGACGTCGGAAGTCGAACGCAAATAATAAAAAATTAAAACTTGCATCCAATCGCAGTCGAATACACAACTTTCTGAGGTAAAAAAGCATTACATTGCCTCCGTTTTGCAATACCGAACACAGTACATGAATGTCGGTTTCTGAGACTATTTGACGACGTGATTCGAAATATGGCGCAATAATGAGTACTGATGTTTTTTGAATTTTGGCAGCTGAATTTGACATGCCTTCTAAATTCGGCAAGATCAATAACGTAAACAAGTTTGACGCACAATACTTCGACAGCTCTTTTATCGAAGCAGAGATACTAGATCCTATGACTAGAATGTTACTGGAACACACTTATGAAGCAATTGTTGATGCTGGAGTTAATCCTGAAGAATTACGTGGTACAAATACTGGAGTATTTGTAGCTGCATGTAATTCCACGACATTTGATGCGTTAGTGTACACTAAATATAACTCTAAATCGGTATAAAACTTTCTTTAATATAATTAATAAAATTGCAAAAAATATTTATTCATTATTTTATCAATTAAAGATTGCTACATAAAATATATTATATCCCCAATAAGCAAATTGTAAAAATATTGCACAAAAATGGCGTCATGAATGACGACAATTTTTCAATGATTGCACTAAAATGATTCACCATAACGCAATAGTTTTGTCAAAATAAAATTTTCGAAATATTATTTGTCAAAAATTAGAAAAGAGTCTCGTTATGCATTTCCAGTAAGTATGTACATAAAGTAATTTGATTTCTGCATTTACGCAATTATATTTCTACAAGTTTTAAACATTACATAGCTGAAATTTGTTCTCTCAATTATTGAACAATTTCTCTTTAAATTTAAGTTTGTAAACATACTGTTAAGATAAGTTGCCATATTGTTATTCTTTTGCCAAAATAGTATTTAAAAAGTAATTTTGCAAAAGTTACAAATCTTTTATAAAAAATCAATATTTTTACATGTATTTTTCAAAATATATCTACATAATTACAAATCACAATTTTCATGCAAGATTTTATCACATAATTTCATAATTGTTTTTTTATCAGGGATAAGTGTGTGTGCGTGTATGTAATTATAATTCAACACTCGAAATTATTTGCACTTTTAGCTAGATTCTTAGAGAGTCTAGCCGAATTTCACGCCCGTTGCTGTCAATTTACTGCTTAAAAATGGTCCCGTTTCATAATCGGTAATAAGGAACGCACCGGAGCGATACTGCTTTAGAAGCGCGTTAACTTCGCGAAAAAGCAATTGAGGTACATATGAATGAATAAGAAAAAACAAAAAGACGTTACTTATCCGTTAAAAATCTGGTTACAGAAAATGTAAATTTCGAGCATTGAATTATGGCAATTTATTTATCGAAAAAAAATGTAACATCAACTCAAATGAAAATAGTTCCTAATCTAAAGTGAATGTAAATGACGCACATCATACAAACTAAATGTACATGTATATATTTATAATTCATTCTGTATATATATTTATATAATTCTAGATAATGGAACATGTACATTTATCAGCCAAAGTTTTGATGGCAAACAAGATTTCTTCTTGGTTAGATATTTCTGGACCATCATATCTTGTAGATACAGCTTGTAGTTCAACTCTTTTCGCTTTAGCCCATGCGTATACAAGGATACAAAACGGAGACTGTAATGCGGCCATTGTAGCTGGTGCCAATCTGTGTTTACATCCTTACTTAACACATCAATTCTTTCGTCTTGGTATAGTTCTTTTAAAATGATAATAATTAATATTATATTATATTGTTTTTTAATTTATCACAAAAATAAGTATACCTGCCGTCATTGAATTGTGCGCAATGAGAGAAATAAAAATTCTTTAGTTTTCTCTTGATTTACTGCGTCAGTTTCTTCTAGTCGGCCGTCTTTCATTTATCATTCGCGTATGATAAATAATCGTGGTCAGCTGGAAAGAAATAGCACAGTAGTAACCCTCACGAAAAAGAACTATTGCCGATTACATATAAATATTACTGGCAATTACACAAGAATATTATTAAGTATTACAGAAAAAATTATTGGATATCACAGAAAATATTATTGGATATCACAGGAAGTATTACAGGTTATCACTGAGAATATTACT